AAATAAAAATACTCATTCTTAAGTTTTTATATTTGTGAACCACAGTATGTACTGTATTTGTAAAAAAACTAGTTTCAGCATCATTTTGACTAGTTGGCAACTTATGCATAAAATCTCTCCAGGACTGGGGTTGGGCTTTTAGGCATAACTACAAGGAAAATGAATGAAGAGAAATTTATCCCAGGCACAGGTGAAGCAACCTATAGTTTAGTGACTGTATTAAGGTCCAGTGCCTGGAAGGAAGACCAAAGTTGAGAAGGACAAAGAGACATATGCCAACATCCAGCCAACAGCTGGTTTTTTACCTCTTGCATGATTACTTAGGGCTCTCCTGTGGAGATGACAGCCTGGTCAGAGGGAGGAGATAGGATGGGTCTGAACCATGGGGAATTGGTCTCAGAAGGAAGTCTGACTTCCAGTGGCCCCCTTTGCAGACATGGCATGGCCCAGGGGGCCTTTTAAGGTAGTCCCTTTAAATTGGCCTGGCTTGTGGCAGTGATAGCAGGTAAGTATCATCATCAAGCTTTTCTTGGAGCCCCAAGAATCAGAGTTAAGGCCTGTGCTTTTGTGGCCACAATAAAGGCAGCCATTTTGGGAGTCTCTTGGTTTTCTCCCAGTCCTGATTACAGAATACTAAGGAGTCAGCTTTTAATAAAGGATAAGTGAACTATCTGGAGCAAAGCCTATCTTTTTTCTAATGTCTGGAGTTGACTGGGTAATAAGCATGTCTTTAAGCCAAATCTGTCCCTCTAGTGAATCAGGATCTATGGACATGTGTTTCATTAGTGCCTCTGATCAATGATCTAAGAAGTCAGAGGAGTTTTCACTTTCCTCCTGAGAAATAGCTGATGATTTAAAATCACCAGAAGGCTCGGTTTTTCTCCTCCTTAGACCTTTGAGAATACACACTTGAAAATGTCTCCTGTTCCAATCTCCTGTATTGTTGTCATGCCACTTGGGGTACTGGGTGGGAACTGCTTGTTCACCAGTGGGAACTGGTGGTTCTCTTGGCTTCTATCTTTGGCCTACTTAAACTAACACCGTATTCATCTCCAAAAGTAATAGCAGCTTGTAATGCTGCCTGATTCTCAGTAGAAGTCTGCTAGGTCTGGGAGAAGGGGGAGGAGAGGAGAAGTCCGTGGGAGGAATGGAGCGGAGTGGACGGCCGTGAAAGTAGTGGTCAGCGGTGGCTTTATTCCGGGAATGCGGGGAGGGGGCCCCTGCCGCCGCGGGCCCCGGGCGCAGCCTCCACTGCACCGAGCCCGGGGCCGGGCTGTGGTCTCTCCGGGAACACGGGGAGTGGAGACTGGCGCGCTGGCCGGCGCTGGCCGCTGGAATCTGGAGGTCTCGCTCTCTCTGGCGAACTCTCTCTGACACGTGGCGTGGGTGAGTCTAAATAGCCTAAGCTTAGGGCAGCACCCTAATGCCATTAGAGATGCACAGGTATCTCATTGGCGCACAGGTCCTTAAGGATGGGGATATAGGGTTACAATCAAGTGCATAGGGGGCAGGGGGGGGAGGAGTTTAGCTGCAGCCTTTTCTGGTTACAGTGTTCCATCTGGGCCGGCAACTCTTTCATATCCCGTCTTCTGGTTATTAGGAAAAGGGGCGAAGATCTCTTTCTGTAACTACTTCCTGCTGGCTGAGGGCGCTGTACTGGGGGTCTAGGGGAGTTTGACGGGATGAAGGTTGATGCCCAGGTAGACACTGATGCCAGGTGTTTTAGCCAGGACAACTTCACTGGTGAATGCACATATGTCAGACTGGAAAAACAAAGAGACAAAATGTTATGAGGAGACATGGCACTGTCATATTTAAGGACCCAGGTGAGGTAGAGGGAAAGGTGCCTTTGATTTAGACATATCATTCTATCAGGACCATGTTGAGGTAGAAACATTTCCATGGTGAGGCAGAATTCTGAAAATTAAACGTGGGGTTAGGAGGAGTGGAGTTATGAGAGGTGATTAATCCCCCATCTGAAAGCATAAAAGACGGTAGGTTGGTAAGGCTTGTCTCTGGTATGCATGACGTTGGAGTCTGTAGGCAATACTGCTAAAGAGTCCTGCTGTAAAAATGATCATTAATAGAATGTAAGAAATTAGGAACCAAAGTGGATAACAAAACATGACTTAGCCTGTTAACTGTGGCTGCGAGGCCTTTGTGAGACGGAGACAGGTAGGCGACAGAAGAAGAGATGACCACTCAGAATGATCAGATTTAGGGTTGGAAGGGCACCTCTTAGCCTGAGTGATGTGAAATCAGGATGGCAGTCCAGCAACTTTGATTTAGGCATGGGTCGCTGTAACCTGGTTGTAGTCCTTGGAATGATTTGCTGTAACAGAACTTTAGCAAGTATGAGAAAGGCTTTTATGTATCCTGAAAAAGTATAAACCAAGTGAGAAGACAAAAATGTATCTGAGTCTTGACTAGGGTTCCTGAGAAATTGGTGAATAAGAAAGGAAGGGGGTGGTCTATATTATTGAGGAGAGGTCCACCAGTGACAACAGGTGGAAGCTGTTGAGGCCTCAGTGTGTCTAAGTCAGCCTGTATAAAAGGCATTTTAAGATGTAGGACTGGGACCTGCACAAAATAGGCCCTGTTTGTAATGTAAATGGCATAGGTTGACCATCAATACCCTGTCATAGAGATTGATGACTTAATATAGCAGCCTGAATACTCAGGAAGAACTCTGTATATATGGCCTCTATGTCCACAAATATAGAGAATGTCTTACCTGAGACTTTAGTGTGACTTGGAATCTGAGACGGACACCTTAAAGGGGGCTGTTGTTGCCCTGAACTTCCTCAGTCTTCAGCAGCAGATTTTCTGTCGGTGACGAATCTGGCAGTGTCGACATTTATGAGGGCTAGAACTTAGGATGGCTTACCCACTCTCTGGTGGCTAGGACAGTCCAGTAGCCCTGGAGTAAGGTCTCAAAGAATGCCAGGATGGGGCATTTTTTGTCCAGTATCTTCTGCTGCATTTGAGCGTGGTGCATGGAGGGGGCAGGCAGCTCCACCTTGTGTAGGTTTACCTGTCTCAGAACTCCAAGTGTCACAAGTGTTAAAAATATAAAAAACCATATTAAGATCTCTATAAGGTTTGAAGGTCAAGTTTTGTCCTTTTTGTTTGGGATTTGGACTATAGTAGAATTAAGTAAGTATGTAGGAATTTAATATCAGCATTTTAGATTATAAGGCAGGCAGGTTGGTAAAATTATCAGGTGGCCAACAATAGTGAACAAATGGTAGAAAAACTGTAAGAAAAAAAGAAAAAAAAATAGCCTCTCTCGAGTGGAACAGAACTGTAAAAAAAGGTTGGGCAGGGCCGTGAGACTCTGGAAACGTGTAGTGTTAAAGGCAGGTTGAAACACTGAGATCTGTGGCACGAGGCAGCAGAGGCAGCCTGTGTGTGCGGTGCCGCGGAGGGGCAGGCAAGGAACCGTAGAGTGGGCGGGGCGAACGCGGGACACCGTAAGCAGAGAACAGAGGCTTACTGTGACGCGCTAAGCGGCGCAGGGAAATGACATGGTCTCGCTGCGACCGCGTAAGGGGGTGGGGCTTGGAGGCCCCGAGTGGTGATCCCCGTTGATGCCTGGCGCCAATGGGAGCTGTGGCTCGCGTTCGGTTCCCCGGAGGGACTGGGCGACGGCCGAGGCGGGCGACAGAGGGGGTGGCCGCGTCCCGGAGGGGCGGGGCGGCGGCCAAGGCAGTGGCTGTGCCCCGGAGGGGCGGGGCGATGGCCAAGGCAGGCAGCAGAGATGGTGGCCACGCCCCGGAGGGGCGGGGCGGCGGCAGAGGCAGGCAGAGGCAGTCAGAGGCACGGCTTGCTTGCTGCGTGGAGCCCCGTGCGTGGGGCAGGGCGCGGGAGAGGCACAGCGTGAAGTTAGGAGGGCTTTGTTTTGAAAGGCTCACGGCCGCGCCAGAGCTGGGCGCGCTGTGAAAGCCACAGCTTTTGGGCGGCTACGGCGGGCGGGGTATGGTGCAGGGACGCTGCGGGACGCTGCCACCATGTGGCCGCGCGGGTGGTGAAACAGGAAATGGGCTGGGCTGGAGGCCAAAGCCAGAGAGGCCCACAGAATTGGAACGCAATGTGAGAGCGAAAAGAAAGAAAAAGGATGTTTTTAAAATTAAAAGCACTTTGATGTGAATCTCTTATTGTTTGGTCTCATTTAACCTTGGGAGAACGGCGACGGCGGACGGACTGGCGTAAAGTGGGAAACAAAAGGGGAGAGGAGCCAAGGGCGGGTGGAGCAATCAATGGGAAGGGCCGGGGCTCGAGCCACTGCGCCGGCAAAATAAAGGGAGCTAAAACGTGGTGGGAGGGGGGCGGGAGAGGCGCCTAGCTCAGAGGAGCCAGGCGCGGGCCCCCCCTGGGGTGACCAGGCCCCGCGGGCCACGCGGGAGACCGTCTCATGACCACGGGACCAGCGGCGCTGAGGCGGCGCGCCGAGGCAGCGCGCGGCGGGGAGGGAGAGGAGCCGCTCTGGGAAAGAAAGCTGATTTAAAAGTTTTGTAAGGGGGGGGTTACTCACCAGAGCGGTAGTGGAAACCTACCATTGGGCTGAGAAACTGTGAGTATAATTTTTTCAAACACGAATATAAAAACTTCATACAAAAACCAGGATCCTCCTTGATTCAGCATGTTGAGGTCAACACTTTTGAGCAAAGGTATTTCCCCATCTTATCTCAGGTCAACCTCACTTGATTAAAACATGTGTTTAGATGTGTGAGCCCTTGGGTTCAAGCCCCAGCTCTGGAAGTGGGGAGGGAGGGAGAGAGAGAAAGAGAAAGAGAGAATTAAATTTCATACACCCTCTCGGTGAGCAATGTCTTTCTTTCTTTCTTTCTTTCTTTCTTTCTTTTTGTTCTGGTAGCAGGGATTGCACTCACAACCTCACACTTGATAAGCAGGCGCTCATGCCACTGGGCTAAATCGCAGCCCTCACAGATCCTCTTGGAAAGAAACAACTGAAATTTATTTTTTTATACAAAGAGAATGTGATTACATTCTTAATGAATAAAAATGAAATAACAGGGGGCTGGGGATTTAGCTCCGCCGGCAAGGCCACCAAGTATCTGAAGGATGTCACGTTAAAGAAGCAATGTGTGCCATTCCGGCGTTACAATGGTGGAGTTGGAAGGTGTGCCCAGGCCAAACAATGGGGCTGGACCCAGGGTCGGTGGCCCAAAAAGAGTGCTGAATTTTTGCTGCACATGCTTAAAAATGCAGAGAGTAATGCTGAACTTAAGGGTTTAGATGTAGATTCTCTGGTCATTGAACATATCCAGGTGAACAAAGCACCCAAGATGCGCCGCCGTACTTACAGAGCTCATGGCCGTATTAACCCATACATGAGCTCTCCCTGCCACATTGAGATGATCCTTACTGAAAAGGAACAGATTGTGCCTAAACCAGAGGAGGAAGTTGCACAGAAGAAAAAAATATCTCAGAAGAAACTGAAGAAACAAAAACTTATGGCACGGGAATAAATTATGCATTAAATAAATGCAAATAAAAGTAATATTGTTTGCCATTATTAGTAAAAAAAAAAAAAAAAAAAAAGAAAGGCCTGACCACCCACATAGCTATTTTTTTCATTACAAGTCTCTTCACTCATCTAAATCACTCTATACCTTTACTACTCGAGCAGAGTCAGGGGAAATGGATTACCCAGGAACCTCTGCACCTGAGAAGATTTTTACTTACACCTGAGGAGTCGACTGAAGAGTCACTGCCGGATCCAGATAAGTTTGCTGTTCCACATCAGGGTCTGCATGACAAGCTGGTTGGGCCACAGAGGCTCCCAGAGGTGGATTCAATGGTAGATGGGCATGAGAATGAACACCTAGCTCTGCCTTCTCAAGTCAGAAGAAAGGAGGAGACTTCTGCTTCAGAGCAGGCTGCAGACCACCAGTCACATGTACTGCGTCTACTACTAGGGAACAAGAGTTCAACACCATCAAAGTTTGTTTCACTCCTGAAACTGAAGGATATAGCTCAGCACTGGCAACTTGCTAAGGAGGTTTTTGGAGCTGCTCATCAATCAGAATATCCTCAGCATCAGAAACAAACCTTGCAGGATGATACTGTGGATCTGAGTACGGATAAAGCTGATCACAAAAGCCTACACCTGGGATATCTGCTGAAGCCAGATCAACCTACACAGCCCTGTGAGCACAAGGAATCATCACAATACCAGCTGGAGGCCCAGACTAAAAATCCAGAGGCTCCACAAATCCAGTCCTCTCTACCTGAGGGAGAAGACCCTTATCGAGACTCACAGCCTGCTGAACAGGTTGTACCTTCTTTAATCCTACACCAAGAGAAGCTATTTAGTGAGGAGGGTTTACATCGGCTGTCAGAGAATCCGGAGATCAATGTTCCATCTCTAAGGGGCAGTGCAACTCATCTCTCACGTTTGACAAATTCCATCCTGAGACCTGGGGAGATACCCAAGGAACCATCTCCAATACTGTACTCAGCCTCTGAAAAGACACAAGGGCCAACAGTGAATGAGCTGCCAGTTCCAATGCTTGGTCAGTATTCAACTCAGCATCCCACATTATCACCTGTCACAACCCCACCGCTAGACATGTGGCTTAGCACAAGTGATAAACTCACTACAGAGCCTGCACATTCTGTGGGCCTGCAGGAGGTTACACCTTCTCCTCTGAAGCATCCTGAGGTGACACTCACACACCACAGGAAGGTGGAGGCTCAACAACCCAAGTTGACTCCTGTCAACATTCAGGCTTGGAATGTAGAACATACGAGAACTTCTCCACCTACTTCAGGGTTTCTCCTTTCACCAACATTGTCAGAAACCCCATTCCAGCCTCCAGCACCATTGCTGGAGGCTTTAGGTCAACGTAGAGAATCATCTTACAGAATAACTCCTACACTGCTGGCTCTAGGTCCAGCTCAGCCTCCAACATTGCCCACTGTCATGGTACAAAAACTGGATACAGGCCCTACCCTATATCCTGAACTTACTGCAGAGGCTGAACATCCCACAGCCGTGCAGGAGGTCACAGTTCCTCCTCACAAGAACCCTGATGTGGCCCTTGCACATCCAGACCAGATGCACACGCAGCATCCAAGTCTCACTCCCGTGATATTTAAACTTTCGGATGTGGAACGTTCCCTGCCTCCACCACCTGTTGCAGGAAGTCAATTTCCTTCAACAAGGCCTGAGAGCCCCTCTCAGCCTCCAGAGCCATTTATGAAGGCTGGAGATCAACACATGGTACCAGCTCAAATGACAAATCCAACAGCACCAGGGCAGGATACAGCTCAGAGTCCAACATTGCACAGTGCAGTGGTACAACCAATGGATATGGCTCTTATCATGAATGCAAAAGCCATTAAAAATGATGAACATTCTGTGGGCCCACAGGAGGTCACAGCTTCTCTTCTGAAGCATCCCGAGGTGACACTTGCACACCCTAGGAAGGTGGAGGCTCCACAACCCAACCTGACTCCTGTCAACATTCAGGCTTGGAGGGTAGAACATAGTAGACCTTCTCCACCTACTTCCAAGGTTCTCCATTCACCACCTTTGCCAGAGAACCCATCTCAGCCTCCAACACCATTTATGGAGGCTTTAGGTCCAGACAGAGTAACACCTCACAGAACAACTGCAGCACCACTGGGTCAGGGTCCAGTTCAGCCTCCAACCTTGCCCAGTGGCACAGTCCAAACAATGGCTCTTATGAGAGAAAAAGCCATTAAAGAGGCTGGACATTTTGTGGCCCCAGAGGAGGGTACAGTTGCTTCTCTGAAGGATCGTGATGTAAGATTCCCACCTTCAAGGCAGGTAGAGTCTCAGGGACCAACTGTGTTTCCTGCAATCATTCAGCCTGTGAAACTGGACCATCCAATACCTCCATCTACTTCAGGGACGCAACTCACACCCAATTTGCCGGAGAACCCCTCTCAGCCTGCAGAGCCATCATTAAAGGGTGTAGATCAGAACACAATACCACTTGAAATGATAAATCCCAAACCACCGGGTCAGATTCCAGCTCAGCCTCACATGTTGACCAGTGTCATGGGGCAACCACTGGACATGGGCCGTATCCTACATCCTGAAGTTACAATGGAGGTGGAACATTCCACGACCCTGCTAGAGGATACAGCTCCTCAGAAGAAACCAGAGATGACCCTTGCACAGCCAGACCAGGTGCAAGCTCGGCAACCAAACCTGACAAGCAGCATGGTTCAGTTGTTGCATATGGAACATTCCATAACTCAACCACCTGCTACTGAAACTAAACTTCCTTCAGTGATGCAGGTGAACCCCTCTCAGCCTCCAGAACCGTCTATGAAGGCTGTCAATCAACACGTGGTACCACTTCAAACAAGAAATCCAACACCACTGGGTCAGGATACAGCTAAGAGCCCAACATTCCCCACTGATGTGGTACACACAATGTATATGAATCTTATCATGACTTCAAAAGGGATTGCAGAGGCTGAACATTCTGTGACTCTGCCGGAGATTGAAGCTTCTCCTCAGCAGCATCCTGAGGTGACCCTTGCACATCCAGACCAAGTGCAGGCTCAGCAACCAAACCTGACACCCATCACGGTTCAACCTTTGGATGTGGAACAGAACACTAACCATTATTCTGCACAAATGGTGCAGGATGCCACCAGCACTAGCAACATATGTGAGCTCTGCACCTGTGACAATGACACCCTGTCATGTACGGGTCTCAGCCCGAAGCAAAGGCTGCGCCAAGTACCTGTCGTAGAGGTCAACTCCTTCACAGTCTTGTAAGGATCAGTTTTCTTCTTTTGTTGTCTGCATTGTGCCTGAGGTGACAGCCCTTTCTTCAAGGGCTTCATAGACTGTCCTCACATCCCCTGTTCACACTGACTTTCTGTTTTTACCTTCTTCTTTCTCAATTTTCTTTATTCCACTCTCTTTGTACTATTTGTGCCCTCTTACCCTTTTTCCTTGTTTTTTTCTTCATATATTTTATTTTGAGACACGGTCTTAGTGAATTCACCAAGCTTGGCCCAGAGTTGTAACCCTGCTTTCAAGGATTTAAATCAGGGAAAGTAAAACGTTTCACGAAGCACCTGCAAGTCAGCTAAGAGGAGCAGATGGATTGACAGCACTGTGTCTGCTGTCACCTGCACTGCCCAGGTTATGATGAAATAGGTAAAAGAAAAACCCAAAAATAACAGAACGTCACTCCCAACCTACTGGAAGTCAGACACACTGAGTTCATTTTCGCTGAAGATGAAGAGTGAATTCTTAGGAACAATGGAGGTTAAGGGTAGGAAAATTTACTGGGGAATAGGAGTGGTGACTAGGAATAGCTCCTGAGAGACAGGTGGGGTCCCAGATGGGTTGCACTTTACTTATCCCACCACCTAACACTTACTCTCCTATTTTTGCTCCCCCCTTTTCACAACTCATTTCCTTAGTGATGATACAGCAATGTGGGCACGAGTAGATTCTGGGCCTGGCGGTGTAGCTCAGAGGTACACTGCCTGTCTTGTACACTCAGGGTCCTGGGTTTGATACCTAGTATCCCTCACCCCTTGGAAAAAGGAATAGAATCTGCCTGACCCAGACGGCCTGAATTTTAACCCAGACATCTCTTTCATTATCTTTGTAACATTTTGCAAGTTAGTCTGTGACTCACTTCCCTCATCTGTGGAAGGAGGAATATAATGTTTACTGTTTCACAGGACTGTGTCAGAAAAGAGAACACTGTGATACAAGTAACAGCACCCCCATATGTATGAATATTAGCTACTGTTGTTGTTGTTGAGGCCCTGAATTATGTGCAGAACTCACCTTTGCCCCTTGCTTTGCAGTATCTAGTTTGTGCTCACTCCTGCAGAGCTAAGTACATGGGGAACTAAAGAAGCATAGTGCTTTTTCCAGAACATGAAAATGATAGAAGGGAGGGGAAGAGCCTTAGGGGAGGTGGTGGGGCCATAAAGAATAGATGCAGAGTCACAAGATTTGAAGGTTAGGGAACACGGCATGGGGGAGCTCAAACCTTAGCTGGTGCTTAGAGTGCTTGCAATTGTCAAGCAGAGGAAACACAGGACGGCCAGCCCAAAGGCATGGCAGCAGGAATGAACATGGCTGCACAGGCCAGTCTGCCTGAAAAGAACAGGGTTATCAAGCAATGAGGTATTATTTCAAATTATGAACACTGAATATCAACTTTAGGATCTTTAGAGAGACAGAGAGACAGAGACCGACACACAGACACAGAGAGACAGAGTTTTCAAGCCAGAGAGCAAAATGATCAAAACAGGAGGACCCTTTTAGACTCCACATGTGGAGGCATCTGGAAGGGAAGGCTGAATTCAGGGAGACCTCGAATCTCTAGGAGCCTGGGGATAAGTGACAAGTGGCTGAGCAGGGTGCTGGTGTGAGAGTGGGTGAACACTGGAACACTGCGTGACCAAGTCACCCAGTAAACAGCTGAGGGCAGGGTGGACAGAGAAGTGCAAACTCCTGTGAGCTCCCGTCTCCATGCTGTGTGGAGCTGAGTGGTGGAG